TTTCATGGCGCCAACGCAGACATCCAGTAATTTGGGATGGCTTGTTTCACGTTGCTCAGGTCAAAATCAGGTTCCTAAGAAGCCAAGAGCACAGTTATTGGTCTCTGGGTCCACCCACCCCACCCCAGGCCAAGGACACACTGATATTCTTGGGCTTTGTGTGTCCTGAGAGGTAGTGGTCCACCCCACCAGAGAGCTGATGGCGAAGGTACTCTGGGCCTTGGAAGGTACTGAAACCTCAAGCAATCATACTTTCCCACCTGGCTCAGGAACTCCAGTGGCAGCCCACACTGCCTTGCAGCAGGGAAAGCCACAGGTGGTCTGGACACTGCTGGAAGGAGGCAGGCTGTGTTCCACAGTGAATGAGACCACCCTTGGGAAGGGGAATGTGGGCAGCAAGGTGACCCTGACCCCTGCCGCCCCAGGACGGATGTCAGTGCTGGGAAGGGGCAGAGGAATGCATGGGCACCAACATGAGCCAGTGGCAGCTCAGGTCAGCACTGCTATACTTCTCTACTGCTTGCTCCATTCACCCCAGCACCAGACAGAGTATCTGACTCACACCCAGGTCCCACAGCCAGGTCTGATGAGTAGACTTGCGTCCACCCCACAACCCCTCCTGAACCCTAGGCCCCGGTGCCCCAAACCCAGGAGGCCCCTCACAGAATAGCTAACTCCTGAAATATGAAATAGGCCCTTACTCCCTCCTCCCCTGGTTCTGTTCCTCTAATGTGGCCTCCAGGATAGAGGCCAAGAACCAACTGGAAGCCATGTGTTCTGAGGAAGAGAATATCTAATTTGCCCCAAGACCACCCAGGGCACCACTATTATAGCCAAGATGCCCCTTGCCCTGTCCTCTACTACCTCTTCCCAGCCTTGGTTCCTCACATGAGCCATGAGGAGGCAGGCAGCTCCAGCAAAAAACACCCCAGCATGCTGACCTTGGGAGGCATCCTTTCCCCAGGCAGATGTGTCTCCCTCCTGCCTGCGCAGCTCCACATCTGGTTGTCTGGCAGGGGGCCATGCCTTGGGGGCCATCCTGGGGATCCCGAGACCCTAGCTAGCAGCACAGAGGCAGGAAGGCTGAACAGGCTACAAGGAACACACAGAGGCCAGCCAGCCCTCAGGCCCTTTGCTCTGTCATCCTGCAGCTACTGGCTTCCCACAGCTGGACTCAAGCCACAGAAACATTCATGGTAGTTACTGCCCCAAATATGCATCTCCACCTAGCCCACCTTAGGGCTCAAAACTCAGAGGGCTCCACCTCCTGCCATCTGAAGGGGTACCAGTGCTAGGGTTGGGTCTCAGACCCAAACTTGCCAATGACCGGAGTCTGCAGCACCCAACTACAGGCTGCTAGTATCAACACAGTGATGGACACAAAGTATCCGGTGCCCTACCTGCCATCCAAACTTTTGACAAAAGTCAGGCCCTGGGGTCCCAGCCTTCATCTATTCTCCCATCTCCTTGGCATTGTGATCAGTCTCCTTCTTGCTACCCTCTTTGCTCCTACCCTGGTTAGTTCCTTACCATGTGCTCCTTTCCTGCTCTGATGCATCAAGATCCCAGGCATACATTACTAACGTGAGCACCCACAGCATGATGCCCATGAGGGAGGGGGGTAGGACAGACCCACCTCCCAGGGGACCCCTCAACACCACCAGGCACTGAGAGCTACACAGACCTCTCTTGTTCAGCTCTCATTTCTCCTTCAGAACAGCTCAGCAAGGTTATTGGCCATTTTTACAGGACAGGGAGATACCACTCTGCAAGAGCCCCATGTGGGTGAGAGGGCTGCCTCCCACTAGCTCTAGCTTCAGGAAGGGAATAGGCACTCCCTAGATAGTCTGTTTCTTGGGGAAGTGTCAGGATTACAGGGGTGACAACGGAAGTGACAGATGGTGCTGGGGATAAGCTAACATGGGAGGGGGAGTGTCAGGCTGGGAAGAATGCCAGGTGTAAGGCTGCCATGCTGCAGGCTTCTTCCCTGTCCCTCTCATACTCTATTTTCCCCTGGCCCTAAAGCCTCCCTCACCACAAAGTCTGAACCCTGCCCCATGAGATTCTGACAAGAGAAACACAGAAGATGGCCCTTATGGGCAAGAAAGGGTAAGCCCCCAGACTGGGGTCCAGTAACGAGGAGGGGCAGAGAAAGAGTGGACAGAAATCTGGTTGCCCAAGGAAGGCAAAGGCAACGGAAATTCCTCAGATGGCTGTCCCAGACATGCTCGTTCAGGAGATGTCGACCTTAACCCCATGGCTGATCTAGGGTTGAGCAGGGCTGCGTCAAGATGTAAAAGCTGCTGAGCCTGTCCGGCCAGTGTGGCTCAGTGGTTGAGCACTGTCCCATGCACCAAGAGGTCACCAGTTCGATTCCCAGTCAGGGCACATGCCCAGGTTATGGACTTGATCCCCAGTGGGGGGCATGCAGGAGGCAGCCAATCGATGTTCTCTCTCATCAATGTTTCTATCTCTCCCTCTCCCTTCCTCTCTCTCTAAAAAAAAAAAAAGCTGCTGAGCCTGTGGTGTTTACATCACGCTAAGTGGGGAATAGGAACCCAGCACACATTGACTTCAAGGTATAACCCTGTATGCTCATCTAAGCTGAGCATACAGGAGTTCCCAGTCCTCCAGGGCTGTTCTGACCACTGAACTGGCCTGAAAAGCAGAGCAGACCTGCCATAGCTCAATTAGATCAGAGCCTCATGGCCACTGATTAACACCAAAGTCAACCCTGGGGCTGACGAGACACCTAAGTGTATTTCCAAGCATACTACAGACTGCAATTAACCTTCGACAAACTCTTTGAAGACTATCAGTATGGTTGTGCCCATTTTATAGCAAGATAAAGGAAGAAATTATTTTCCCAGAATGACAAGCCGGATAAGGAGAATGGAGTCCAGACCCCTAAATTCAGGCCAAAACCCCACCCAAAGTCTCCACCCAAATTCAATCCTGTCTAAGTCCTCCCAGGAGTCTGATGGCCCAGAGTGTAGAGGGCGTGGAAGGCATCCATCCACCCAGCTTAACCTGGCACAGTAATCCAGGCCCCTGAGCTCAAGCTGTACACCCTTACCTGAGTCAGTTCCCTCTCTATGCCTCAGCTCATCATGGGGATAACACCCAAAATTCTCACAGAGAGCAAACATGGGAATCTGAAGGAAAGGACCTTTCCAGCCACTTGGCAGTGCAGCTGGGCCTCTCAGCTCAGCCTCTGAGGATAATCTCTGGACATGTAGTGATGGGAGCCCCTCGTAAGGATCCTGGATAATAGAGCAAACATGTTCTCTGCTGCATTCTTACACAGGCCAGTCTTCGCATCCACAGAGGCACTAGGTATCATGTCTCATTAATGTGTCTTAACCATGTGCCAGACACTGCTCTGAGCACCTCACCTGGATCCTCTCATTGGATCCTCACAAAAACCCTAGGAGGGAGGTAATATTTTTATTCTGTTATTCGGATGAGAACACTAAGGGGTTAAGTAACTTGCCTGACATGGTCAGCAAGTCAGGGGATCTGATTCTGGTTACTCTACATACCACTCCCACCTGCAAGACCAACTGTTGGAGCAACCTCTGGCCACAGACAGACAAGACCCGGACACAACTTTCTGGTCAGCTGGGCAGAAAAAATGCACACAGATACACACACTCACAGGTCTCCTGGCCTCCCACTAACCAGCAAATCTATTAGGATTCATGTGCTGCCCTCCTTGGATCCATAAATTCTGAGGTACAGTGCAGAGGTGAGGTGAACCTCTGATTTACCCAAACTACGAATCTCTCCTCCTGTATCTAAACTTACTTAACTGACACAGCACCCTCCCCAGTGGAAATAAAACACCCCAGTCTAGAAGTTATGAAACCAAGAGCTCCTGCTTTAGTTATGCATATTTCCAAAGTAGACCAACAAATGTATTTTCAGATTAAAGGGGAAATTTACATATATAAATTCAGATGACTGTATTTACAGCATTAATTACATAAGTCCCAGCTCCCTTATTTAGCCCCAGAACCAATTCCTTATCAGTCACATATTCAGCATTCCCCCCTACCCCCTCCCTTCCAACAGCCCTGGGCTCTCCCTCCCCCCTCCCCTGCGACCAGGGCCTCACATGCTGGCAAGAGGACACAGCTTCCTTCACTGTCACAGCCCAGCCTCCCAGACACACCCAGATCCAGCCTTAGACACCAGGGGACATGCAGACACAACCCACAAAAGGCCCCCCTCCCCCTGTTGAATTAGAAAAACCTTTAGGAAGTTGGTCGTTGGCAGGCTCAGGCCCAGAGACCCCAGAGCCCTTAGACCTTCAGAAAGCATACCCGAACTGGGGCCCAAACGAACATCCACTGGGCTGAATCTGGCATCACTCCAGTTCCTGGGGAATGGCTGCCTCAGACCTGACCACTGAGGCCGGTCCTGCCTGGAATCGCACCCAAGATTCCGCCGCTTGGGGGGTGGGGGTGGGGTGGGGGGACGGGTGGAGGGAGAAGGAAAAGCAGTCCCAGGGTCTTCTGGACTCAATATGCCACTGCCCCTCGGATCCCTAGGGCTTCATCCTCACCGGTGGTGCCTATCCAACAGCACCTGTGCGACAGGAATCTCCCCAGAAGTGCAGAAAGAAATACCCAGGAACATGGGGGTCCGGAGTATCGGGGATCGTCCCCTCCCGTCCCCGGGGCCCCAGTCTGTACTCGCACCTGGTCGGAGTCAAGCGGGTATTTATTTGCTCCTTCCCGCGAAAGGGGCCTGCCTCTCCTGCGCACAAGAGGGGACGACCCGCCAGCCGCCTGGCAAGGCGCCCCCGCCCGACGCCCCAGGACCCCAGACCAGCGCTGCGAAGAGCCCGCTCCAGTGTTCCCAGGCCAGCCGGGCGTCGAGGCCCGGCCGCGCGGCGCTGACAGCCCGGCTCGCGCCCCCGGCTAGATGCAGGGCGGCCCCCTGCCCGCGCCCCGCGCCCGCGCCCCCCGCGCGCCGCGGCCCAGCACGGCCCTCACCGAGAAGCGTTCCAGGTCCGTGGCCGCCATGGCAAGCTCCGCACCGGGCGGGCGGGCCGGGGCGAGCACCCGGGGCCGCGACGGGGACAAGCCGGCTGCGGGACGCGCTCCGCCCGGGCGGCTGCGGCTGAATGGATCCAATATGGCCACTTCCTGGAAACTCCCCTTGGCGGCGGCGGCGGCGGGAGAAGGAGCGGAGCTGCCCCCGCCCCTGCCCGCGGGACCGACCTCCCCGCCCGGCCCCGCCACGAGCGCAGCCGGAGCCCCGCCGCTGGGACGGCCGGGGGTCTCCGCAGCGAGGCGGGAGGTGCCAGCTGCGGGGGCTGCTGGGACTTGTAGTCTGCGAGTTGGGGGGCCAGAGAGGGGAGTGCCTGGGGGGGCCAGTGCCTGCCCGCCTGCCGCGTGTCCCTGGGGCCGAGCCCGTGGGAGTGTTGCGGCCCGCGCGCTAGTATGCCTGTTCGGTGGGGAGGAGAGTGGGGTGCTTCGTGTACCCCAGGGGTTTCCCCTACCAAACCGCCTCCACCACGTCGGAGGCTGCAGATGCACCGGGAGCACCAGCCAGAGTGTGGATAGGCTGGCTGCGGCCCGTCGGGTCCAGGAGAGGCCGCCTCAGTCTCGCAAAGCCGGTGCCCTGGCTGCCACCTGACGCTCTGATGGAAACCAGGGCAGGACCCAGGGCGGGACCCGCGCGTCCGGCCGGGCGGCCTTCCTGGGCAAGGGACCAGCTTTCAGCTCCTTGCGCAACGGAATGCTCAGGATGCGCAGTTCAGACCCGGGATTAGTGCCATAGAAAAGCCGAGCTCGACAGTCAAGCACCAGATTGCAAGTAACCATCACCTTACCTGCCCCATGGGCTTGGGGCAACGTCTTAATGAAGTCTGGGCACTGTGCAAAGGGGACCACTGCTCCTGATGCATGTACATTCTCTCTGCTAATCTTACTACCCAAAACGTGCACAAAACTCAGAAAACTAACACCTCTGCCCAAGTGGAAGTTGTCAGGGGGCTCTGGTCCTTTTCACTGACTATCCATACAAAACCCAGCTCCCCATCCTACTTTTCTTCTTCCTTCCCTTTGCTTTTCTGTTCAGTCTTTGAGAATGTGGCAAACTTTGCCTCCTGTTCCTCCACTGGTCTCATCCACCCTACACACACACACACACACACACACACACACACACACACACCACCCTCCCCAACATCTTCCTGGAAAACAAATGGCCTGTCCCTACTACTCAGAAACGTGTGCTGGCTGGAGATGCCTGAAGACCATATCTGGACTTGACACATCTGGCTTTAAGAGGATCCCGGTACCAATCTTTCCACTGGATTGTGTTTCTACTCTGAAATGGCTTTCTCCTCCCTTCTCTCCCAGGCAACCGAAACTTGTCCCTAAAGTGAACGGATATCCCACTGGACCTTTCTGACTCTGTTTTCTGTTCCTCTCTCTATCATGGTGTTTTGCCTGCTGTACTGTAATTATCTACAAGACATGGGCAGAGCAGTGGGTAAGGGAGCTGGACTTATGGCAAATCACCTGGGTTGGAATCCTGCCTCCATCCCTTGCTAGCTTGGGGGTGGGGGGCACTACACTTCTACTCAATGAAGAGAAACATTTGTTTTTATCGGTACAGAGATCTTTTTACACTTATCATGCCATGAATTCACAGGGAATGGGTTTCAGCAGCGCAGGCTCCTTTCCATTGGTTCTCATGAAGTGTGCTTCTTTGGATGGAGCAGGCTGATGCTTCAGTTGAACGCAGGTACCTTTCTCTTTGGCTTCCTTCTTTTTCTGATCATTTCCCTTCACATGTTTCAGGAAGCTATCTCAGCTCTTAGAGTGCTTAATATGCTCAATACATACATTAATTCTCTTGGCAAGAATCTTGCCCTTAACTTGTTTGTTCACATGCTGGGTGACATTGTAGACTCTTCCAGTTTTGCCATGGTAACATTTGTGGGGCATTCCTTTTTAAACAGTGCCCATTCCCTTTATGTCCACAATATTACCTTTCTTATAGATTCTCATGTATGTGGCCAAAGGAACAACTCCATGTTTTCTAATAGGCCTAGAGAACATATAGCGGGTGCTTCTTCTCTTTTCCTTTGTGTTAGTCATTCTGGTGAATTTCAGGAAGATGGAGGTTCTGGCTGAAAAGAAAGCCCTTGCTAGCTTTTAACCTTAGGCAATTTAGTTAACTGTGCCTCTCTTTCCTCATCCTAAAAATGAGAATAATTATAGTACCTATGTCATAGGATTAAAATGAGATAAAATAAGGGCTTTAAGCTATTCTTGATATCAAATGTTTAATAAAACTTCTCTCTCTAGACTACAAAGCCCTTAATGTCAGAACCCAGAGAGAGTGAGAGAAAGAGAGCGTGTTCAATGTTGAGTTGATCATCCCAGGCCATATCTGTTGTTTCATTTTCATTTGATATAACTGGCAAGAAATCTGTCCCAGCTGCCATTTTCTGCATCACGATGCCCTAGGATCTGCCCTAAACTATCTATAAAATGGTCTTTTTCTCCCTAGTTGGGCATATTTAAAAATATCTGCTTCTAGCAGCCCCAGCTGGTGGTCATGAGAATGAAAACCCCAGATTACAGCTTACTTCCTTCTCATGGGATATGTTCACTCTGCCGGGAGAATTTATACCTACTCCCCAAACCCCAAATTTATTTTTATTTTCCTTCTTTTCCTCCTTCCTCTGCCTCCCTTTCCCCCTTGTTCCTCTTCTCCTCTTCCTCCTCCTTTTCCCCTAGCCCCCTTCAATGCTACTGCTGGTCAGAACTACCAAAGGAGTGTATCACTTGTGGGGACACAAAGGTGAATGCAACAATCATTTCACGTGAGGCAAAGTGTTATTTCTAATGGCAGCATTTCCAAGTGTCTTTATACACCCAGCAGAAGTTCACAGGTGTTATATACACACCCAGAGTGGTCCCATAGTTAAATAACTCTACATATACAGAAATATGAGTTCCACACAGAAAAAAGGTTTCTGGCCCTGGCCGTTTTGGCTCAGCGGTTGGAGCATCAGCCTGCGGTACAGAGAGGCCCGGGTTCGGTTCCCGCTAAGGGCACGTACCTCGGTTGCAGTTTGTCCCCAGCCCTGGTTGGTCGTGTGGGTGGCAGCCACTCGATGTGTCCCTTCACATCGATGTTTCTCCCTCTCTCTCTTCCTCTCTCTCCCTCCCGCTCTGTCTGAACAAAAAATGGAAAAATGTCCTCAGGTGAGGATAAAAAAAAAAAAGAAAGAAAGAAAAAAGGTTTCTGTAGAAGTCCTCAGAGATTTTGAAAGGTAATATGTGCTGTCACTGTCTGAGAGGTAAAGGAAATACGCAGCCCTCCTCAAACTTAGTTGATCACCCCTCTGTCCTCACCCCATACACTCCCAACACTCATTGAACTTGAATATGACAGACTCCACTGTTGCTTGTCTTTTACTTTTGGTTATAGTTTCTTTTCATACAAAAGTTTAAAATGTTGATGTAAAGTTTTTCTGTTATTTCCTTTATGGTTTTCACCATAACGCCTTTTTAAAAAAATGTTTTATATGATTTTATTGATTTTCTTAGAGAGAGAGGAAGAGAGAGATAGAAACATCGAAGTGAGAGAGAAACATTGATCAGCTGCCCCTGCACACCTCCCACTGGGGATTGAGCCCCGAAACCTGGGCATGTGCCCTGACTAGGAATCAAACCAGAAACTCTCAGTCCATGGGATGATGCTCAATCCACTGAGCCACACTGGCGGGGCCCATAATGCCTTAAAAAAAAAACAAAAACACACAACTATTCCTTATCTCAAATTCATAAAGATATTCTCTTTGTATTTTCTTATAAAACATTAAAAACATTTTTTGTCACATTTAGGTTCCTCCATGATTTGTTTATGTAAGTGCCAAGCCAGTTGTTTCATTTTCCTCAATGATCTACAATGCAAATTGTATCACAGACTTAATTTCTACATGTGTGTGGCAGTCTGTGGATGAGTAAGGATTATGTTCAGTTGCTTCAACAAGATAGAAGTGTCCTTTTTTTTTTTCATGTTACCCAGACAGCCTAGGTGATGTGACATTCTACACACACCTTCTACATTGCTTTGCTTTGAAAGGGCTTGACCTCATGGTCCCATCTGATGACTTTTGCATTCCAAGTAGCAGTAGGAAATGAAGGTGATAAAGAGAAAATGAGCAAACACACTCAGATGATTCCAGAAGGTGACACATGACATGTTTGCTTGCATCCTATTGGCCAGAGCTGGGAATGGGGTCTTTATTCTAGCCATCATGTGTACAACTAAAAATTCTATAAGATGTTAGGAGAATCAGCATTGAGAGATAGCAGCAATCCCTGACAAATCTGTTTCTGGACTAAATTTATCCTGTTCCAATGAGATACCCCCAGTTTTTTTTTCTAATATTTAAAATATTCTGTTTATTTATTGGCAAATTAAAATATTAGAAAATGACAAGCAAGAAAATAATCGGCCCTATACCACCTACAGAAATGACCATTCTATTTTTATTTTTTATCTTATTTATTTTTTAATCCTCACCCAAGGATATTTTTCTATTAACTTCAAATAGAGTGGGACAGAGAGAGAAAAAGGGAGTGAGAAAGAAACATGTATGTGAGAGGGATACATCGACTGGTTCTTCTCGCATGACCCTGACCAGAGCCAGGGACAAACTGCAACCGAGGTACGTGCCCTTGGCTGGAATAGAGCCTGAGACCTATTGGTCCTTAGGCCATCGCTCTACCCTACCGCTGAGCCAAACCACTCAGGGCAACCATTCTATTTTTAGAAAACTGTCTATGCTTATTTGCAGATCAGAAGAAAGATCATAGGGATGTTTTATAAGAATTGGACCATAATACATATGCTCTTTCAATAAAAAGCATTAAGTTTAATTTTACTTGAATTTAAAAGAAGTTGAAGTGAAACTGATGGAAGAGTTGAACTTCAAATAATGTGTCTTGACCACAAGAGAGATTACTTCCTAAAATATACCTCTGAGGTTAAACAAAAATTGTGAAAAATATTAAGAGATTGGAGTCATTTTTAATTATACATTTCAGTGGGTTGTGTGTATTATTAGCTCCCATGATTCTTCCCATCTTT